TCTCTGTATCTATTATTGTATGATCTACTGTACAATATAAAGCGCCTTGAGGCGACTGTTGTTGTGATTTGGCGCTATATAAATAAAATTGAAATGAAATAAAAATGAAATACAAGATCACCCCATTAGCTCTCAGACTGTGTGCTTACTTGTGGTTCCTACAGTATTTAGAAGTAGAATGAGAGACAGACGCCATCTCCACTTTTAAGGTTGGGCTTAAAACTTTCCTTTTTGCTAAAGCACATAGTCAGTGCTGGATCAGGTGAACCTGAATCCTCCCGTAGTTATGCTGCAGTAGGTGTAGTCTGCTGGCGGATTCCCATGATGCATTGAGTATTTCTCCTTCAATCACAATTCTTACTCTCTTTTTGTTTATACATCTCTCTGCATTTAATCATTACTTATTGTTAATCTCTGGCTCTCTTCCACAGCGTGTGTTTTGTCCTGTCTTCCTCCAGTCGCAGCAGATCGCTGCCCCTCCCTGAGCCTGGTTCTGCTGGAGGTTTCTTCTTGTTAAAAGGGAGTTTTTTTGCTTCCCACTGTTGTCAAAGCGCTTGCTCACCGGGGCTATATGATTGTTGGGGTTTTCCCTGTTTTCTTGGTATTACTGCAGGGTTACATTAGGGTTACCTTACAATATAAAGCGCCCTGAGGCTGTTGTTGTGATTTGGTGCCGTGTAAATAAAAATTAATTCATTTGGTTTTGAAAACACATGAGGTATACAAAAGATGCCATGTGCTACTTTTGCTAGTACAGTGAATGTTTTAAACTAAAGTTAAACAGATGCTATGAGTTGCTGTATCATATTCTCCCTTTTCTCTCTGATAAGTCCCACTGTGGATATTTGAACTGTTTTGAGCCATAAATAGAGACTGAGACTTTTTCACATGGTCTCATAAAAGTCATCTAAAATTCTCTCTACCACAACGACCACAGCCAGCGGGTGTTTGAAAAATGGACACATTGTTATTTAAAGTGTGGATAAGAAAGAGAAAAGGGTAACGAAGAGAAATGACAAAACAATTTTACAGAAAATGAAGGACACCCTCACCTCGTTTCATGCCATGCCATGCTCCTTTATTAAAGGAGAAAATCTTTCTGAATGAATGCTGTTTTTAATGGGATCTGTACATGTCTGAAAGTAAATCATAAATCCTTAGATTAGACACTAGATCCTTACCCACCAACATTACACGAGCATCCTAACTGCAGCACAAATTTAAGATCATTTTATGATTAAAACAGATTATTTAAAAGCAGCAGAGTATTGCTGGTTTTCATAGTTGGGTTTCCTGAGAATTATAAAAGTAGATGTATTCTTATTCATTTATAAAAACAAAAACATTAATGCTGTCACACCAGTGAAGTCACTTCAAAGCTGGGCACAAGTACGCCCTCTCATTCTTATCCGAATAACTGGAGTTATGTGTTATCAGAAGTAAAACAGCCCTGACAAGACAGCATTTCTTATCTCCTATAACAATTTAAGCCTTTACAAATAAAACAAACTACATTCAGTCAACAGTGGGCTCTCATTTAGCTCAATCCCATTCAGCCCATCTGTCGACCAAATGAAAGACACACTGGATTCAGTGTTTAACTTGCCACCCTGCCTGCATTCACACCTGCACAGCAGAGGGAAAGTAAATAAATTCCCTTCTTCTCCACCTGACAGCTGCACTCTGACCCCGTCTGCTCTCCTTCACTTTACTTAAAGCTGTCAATATTGATTTCCTTACGTTTGGTGGCCATTTCAGCGGCGGTCCTGCTTGCTCTCCTCTCTTTCTTGTGCTTCCACCGTTGGCTTGCACTCCAGGCTTTTTTTGGCCACCCTAGCTCCGTCAGCAATATAAGGCCCGGCTGGCCTAATTTTATCCTGTATTGGATTCACACACACTCAAATTGGGAACTTGAGACTTGAGCATGTACATGCCCCACAGCTTGTAGAGGCTAATGCTTCCTCAACCAGTTGGTGGCTGATTTGCACACAGAGGCCTTTCCATGCACGACAGACCATGACAGTTTTTTTTTAACGTAAAATGATCATCAATCCAAACTGATAAGAAAACAACTAATGTTAGCAGGAAGCTAATGCCAAAAGCTGCGTGCTACAGCACTGACATCAAGCTGAATACATACAGTCACTGCAGTCACTTGCCACGTTTTACAGATAAGCAAGAAAGATGAGTTTCTCTATAGATTTATTATTCACTCTGCACAAATATCCCTCATGACACCTTCTGTGTGTCAGACCAAAACACGGAGCCAAACTCGCCTCGCCATCTGTATATTTAACACTTTCACTCACACCTTTAAAGCTCTAAAGATAACATAAGAACAACCTTATAAAAGAGGAAATCCATGTTAGAAAAGCACAGGCTCAGATGTATACTATAAAAGGGAGCTGTACTAACATTTGTATTTAAAAAAGCCATGATGTGTTTGCTGTACGGTATTTAGTACGAATTAAGGGTGTTATATAACTGTTATTCAACAACTGATATATTGCTAATTAATAGTGTCTAATACACATATGAAAATAAAAGTATGTACTTTTTTTTGTATGCTCTTCTACATTTATGGTTGTAGAGGGCTATACTGACGTGTCCTATCCTAGCACTGTGGCTTCATATCAAAAGGATTCTTGCTGGACCCTTCTGAGTTGCATTAGGATGCTCTTCCTGTGCTTGTATGGCTCTCGACAGTTACTCTAGAGAGCCATGTAAGCAGAATAAGGGCATGTATGTTAGATTAACTGGTGATTCTACACTAATCATACATTCAATTCAGATTTATTTATATAATATAACTCCAAACCACAACAGCAGTCACCTCAAGGTGCTTTATACTGTAAAGTAAAGACCCAACAGCATCAAAGCGAAAACCCTAATGATCCGACGATCCCCTATGAGTGCAAGCACAATGGCAATGTTGTTCGTGAAAACGAGATCTCTGCAGTGAAAATCTGACATTAGCGTGAAAAAAAGGATGGAGAGATAAAAACTGTTGATCAAGCCGAGGAACATCTAACACATCTATTCTGCCTCCTCTTGGCAGGTGGTGACAAAACAAACTAAGATGTTTATTTTTATGGCGTGTATCACTTTGACAAGGGGTTTTTACACCATCATGACTTATTAGGTGTTAAAAAAAAAACCTCCCTTCTTGTCTGATTGCAGCTTTACTAATATCTGTACCCAAGTCAGAGTAATGTGGAGAATTACACAGTGGTGATGTCACTGATGTTCACTGCACAGATGTAAGCTGTTGTTTGGGGAACGGGGCCAAACAAAAACAGCTGTAAGTCCTGTTATGGTGATTAATCATGAAAATAAAAATTGCAGTTTAAATGGCGAATGCCTCTGTGATTATAAAACGCAGGAATTTTAAAAGTTTAAACAGTTTCAGTTTCTAAATAACATCAGAAAAAATAAGTAATAAAATAAACATTTTTATTACTGAGCAGATATTGCAAAAAAATACAGTCTATCTCCTAAAGAATGAACGCAGCTTTGATTTCAGGAAAAAACACCTGTGGTTTGAAGTGTATGTACTATTATTGTGTTTAATAAACAAAAAGATAAGGACGATATACGATCAGTTTAACAGGATCAACCTCCAACCTCTGTGTGTCTTCTTCAAACCATCTCACACTTTGTGCTGCGTGTCCGACAGTACTGTAATCCACAAGCCTATAATCCCGACCGATCAAAGGTTGAGATTAGGAAAGATGTGGGAGGGGCAGAGAGCTGCAGACAGGAGGATGGTGAGTGAGAGTGAGCGCAAACATGACAGTGGCAAAGCAAGCCAGGCAATGATTGGTGCGCACAAATAGCCAGCCAATCACAGCACGGGCAGGGAAAATAACAAGGCAAGGGAGAAGCTGGTGAAAGAGGGAAGAGCTATGAAAAAGCGAGGGAGAAGGTGAAATCTCAGCAGCACAGAGAAGAGGCCAAACAAGCAGGAGCGGAAGGATGATCGGAGGTGAAAGCGCTGATCAGTGAGGTCTCCAGAGAGGGAGAGGAGAAGAAGGAGATGAGCAGCAAGAGGGGGGTAAGCAGCCAGCACACACAACATCCATCAGCTCAGGCAGCCATGCTCTGAGCCCTGGAGCAGCAGGGCTACGCAGACACTGCACAGGCCCCACATCAGGCCTATAGCTCAGCCCTCCATCCCGGCCAGCAACACCGGGGCAGGGACAAGACAAGATTCCCTTCACAACACCTGTGCATAAAAGCCATGAGGACAGCCAGGAAGGGCAGTGTAGAGATGCCTGCGTTTGTGCGCCAGCTGGTGAAAGAAACAGAAAAGAGGGTCAGCTCTTTCTTCAAAGGGGGCCGTGGAGGAACAGCAGAAGGAGAGCAGCAAGGGGAGGGGGAGAAGGAGGAGGTCATCCCCAGCCCCTACCTAGACCGGCCAGTCCTGGACAAGCTCACAGAGGAGGGCTGCGCCCGCTGGGGCCTCACCTATGCCCTAGGAAGTATGCAGGGCTGGAGGGCCAACATGGAGGACTTCCACAACTGTGTGCCACAGCTGGGTGGAGAGCTAGCTGACTGGAGCTTCTTTGCAGTGTTCGATGGCCATGCAGGCAGCACGGTGGCTCAGTACTGCTCCCAACACCTTCTGGGTCACATCCTGGCTATGGGTGAGAGATCTGTTCAGTGACACCTGACAGTGTGTGTGTGTGTGTGTGTGTGTGTGGGTGTGTGTGTGGGTGTTATCTTATAAGGATATTATTTTATGAGATATTCAGAATTTTAAACAGGCTGGTGATTATCCTTTGTTATTAGTCATCAATATGATGACTGCTATAGCTGCTGGGTTCAGAAAATACTGTTTGTGCTCACAGATGGAATAGGACCAGAAGATGACCCGCCAAAAGTGAAAGGGGCCATCGAAGAGGGCTTCCTCCAGACAGACAAGCACCTGCACTCTGTGGCCCGTCGAGAGGGCTGGGAGAGGGGCGGCACCACTGTGGTGGCCACTCTCATTTCGCCATATTACATCTACTTTGCCAACTGCGGTGACTCAAGGGCCATGCTGTGCCGGTCTGGGCAGGTCTGCTTCTCCACTGAGGACCACAAACCTTACAGCCCTCTGGAGAAAGAACGTATTGAGAGCGCGGGTGGCTCCGTGTCCCTCCAACGGATCAACGGCTCCTTGGCAGTGTCACGCGCTCTGGGAGACTTCGGCTACAAGGGGGCAGAGAACCGGACCCCGAGCCAGCAGATGGTTTCACCTGAGCCAGAAGTGTGTGTGGTGGAGCGCTCGCCGGCAGATGAATTCCTGGTGCTCGCCTGTGATGGCGTGTGGGACACCATCAGCAACGAGGAGCTGTGCGCCTTCATCCACAACCGGCTGCGTGTCTGCACCGACCTGAGGGACGTCTGCACTCAGGTCATTGACCTCTGCCTCTATAAGGTCAGCACTGTTACACATACTTACTGCATGCACTTGTGTTGCTGTTCAGTAGTCTGAATAACAAATCCTTTCAACTGATTAAAAACACAATTTCAGTTTCAAGCTGAGTTACATAATTTTTAATCAGCTTTGAATTTTATGGCTTCTAATCAAGTAAAGTAATCTACTACAAGACTGACTGTGTTTTTAAACAAAGACATAATGGACTGGATATTCATTTTGATTTAAGGTAATGGACTCTGCTTCCTCTTTTAAAGATAACTCTTTAAAAGTTCTGAGGTTGTAAAGGGTGCAGAGTCACACGTGGAAATATTTTCCTACTACATAAATGTTCATCTCTGCAACTAAACACTTATCTTGAGGTAAAACTGTTTTAAATCAAAAATAAATTTAAAAAAATGGTAAATGGCCTGTATTTATATAGCGCTTTACTAGTCCCTAAGGACCCCAAAGCGCTTTACATATCCAGTCATCCACCCATTCACACACACATGATGGCAGCTACATTGTAGCCACAGCCACCCTGGGGCGCACTGACAGAGGCGAGGCTGCCGGACACTGGCGCCACCGGGCCCTCTGACCACCACCAGTAGGCAGCGGGTGAAGTGTCTTGCCCAAGGACACAATGACCGAGACTGTTGGAGCCGGGGCTTGAACCGGCAACCTTCCGATTACAAGGCGAACTCCCAACTCTTGAGCCACGATCGCCCCGAAGTCACCATTAAAGTTTGACCCATGGTGGTCCTGAGAACCCACTGAGTTTTAGGAAAAAACACGAGATAAAACAGAAGCAGACTAAGTGAACTTCCTCACTAATTCTACAGCACATGCAGCATATTTGTGAAAGGTGCTCCAAAGTCAATAAACACATCCATATATGGAAGCTTAGAATATAAAAGTTTTTTTTAAAATCCATAGATAAGTAATGTTCATATTAGAGTGTGCTAATATAAGCTCTCAGGGTCACTTTCTCATGGAGCTGAGGGGAGCTGCAGAGTGAGATGACAACTGAGGCCCGAGCAGAGGCACATACAAGACGTGCGCCTTTTGTTAAATGTCTTGTTTTCTTCTTAGTTTAAAATGTCATGCCAGTCCTGTGTGGTTAAATGTGGCTTTTCCTGATCCTTTTCAGCAAGTTCTGCCATACGTATCAATCCATTTACAGCCTTCAATTTAAAATGAACAGGATCTTTGGCTGAAATGGCAAAAGTTAAAAATTCAAAAATACCTCAGCTTAAGCTTTGATTTAGTCTCACTGAGACTGCCGCTGCTGTTCATGGTACAACAGACTATCAGACAGCCTTAAAATAGACTGCAGGGGTGTCGGAACAGGTTACATCGCATTATTCAGGGTTCCCATGAGGCCTAATTACCGACACTCTCGCTCAGAGATTTTACAGAATGTTACAGGAATGTAACGAAAGAAAGTAGATATTGGATTAAAATTACATGGCAGATTACAAGCACAGAAACACATTAAGATAAACTTGAGCCACATGTGCACTCTGTTGGGTCCTCATATCACGCTTATGTAACAGTGCTTCAGCTTGGATGTGCACAATGACCTCAAAATGTCATGCCTTCTTCCGCACTCCATTTCCATTTTGCAGCTCCCCTGAGTCTGTGTGACATTGGAGTGCAAACGCTGATGTGAAGAAAAAAAAAAAAAAAGATCTATTTGTAAAACTGCTCAAGTGGGATGTTTCGTGAGTTGACATTTGTAAGGTCAGCCATCATTACTCACCTCTGCTGATGCCGTTTTGTTCCACAGGGCAGCTTGGACAACATCAGCATCATCTTGCTGTGCTTCCCTGGAGCCCCCCAGCTGTCAACAGAGGCATTACACCAGGAGGCTGAGCTGGAGGACCTGCTGGAGTCCAAGGTGGCAGGTGTGTGGGTAAAGATGCTTTGCAAAGGACAGTGACAACCTTCATATTAGCAGCCTGGAGTCTGTTTTTGCCATGGTGTAATGTTTCAATTCTCTTTGGTGTTTCAATGGTTTGCAAAAAAAAAAGTTTGAACGATTTGTTAATCAATGTTGTTTTTCCAAGATAATTATTTAAATGATTTCTGACATCACGTGTCTTGGGTAAAAAACAAAAGCAAAACACCAAATCTGTGATTCTTGCCATGAACCTATTTACTTGTGAACACGGGCACTATCATTTATTCTGAGTAAGTCCCACATTTACCCTAGTGTGGTAAATACTCATTAGAAATCCTGATGTGTATTGATCCACAGCTGAAAATAGTCCTAAAAACTCTGCTCTTTACAGACTTTTGCCTAAATCTAAAGTGTCCAGTGTATATTAGAAAGAAACTCTCTAAAAATGCATCTTTCTTTTTAATCAGAGATTTATGATGAGCTGTGTGCCAGAGGGGAAGAGCCTGAGCTGCTGTCCGTCCTCACAGTTCTTGCATCCACTGTCATCCCTGGATTACCACCAGGTGGAGGCATACAGAGCAAGTAAGACACAAATGAGCATCTATGTGCATTTGTGCATGTAAACCACGTTCTGCTGGATGCAGTAGTGATTACATTGTGTTACTTCTGTGTGTTACAGGAGGAACTGCATTATCTCTGCTTACTATCAACAACGTGATGCGCACAAGCCCATGATACCAAATGTGAGTGACAGTTACAATTAGGTCCATACGTTTTTGGACAATGAGACTTTTTTTTGATAGTTTTTCCTCTCTGCACCAACGCAGTGGATTTTAAATCAAACAGTAGAGATATGATTGTAATGTTTCTTCAGCTTTAATTAAAGAAGCTTTACAACAGGATTTACAATAATGTGCAAACCACTGGTTACAGTCAAAAACAAGAATGCAGGATTAGACTTTGCCCAAAAAACACGGTTCTGTAAAAAAAAGAAATGTGTTATGGCATGGGCCTGTAAGGCTGCCAGTGGAACTGGGTCATTAGTGTTTATTGATGATGTGACTGCTGATAGAAGCAGCGGGATGAACTGTGAGAGTACAAAGCTGTACTCTCAGCTCAGGTTCAGCCAAATGCTGCAAATCTGATCAGGCAGCACTTCACAGTGCAAAAAGATAAGGACCTAAAGAATTGTGCAAAGCCAACCCAAGAGTTTCCTAAAGCACAGAAAAGGAATATTTTTCAATGGCCAATTCAGTCAACTGATCTCACTGGGACAGAGCATGCTTTTACTAAAGTGACTGAAGACAATAGTGATGGCAGAAAGACCCACAGTCAAGCTGCAAGTGAAGGCAACTGCAGTAAAGGTTTGGAAGAGCATTTCAAGGGAGGAAAGAGCATTTATTGGTGTCAGGGGCCTCTCTGTCTACAACCAAGCAAAGGATTTTTTACCTGAGTCATAAAAACAATCCTCATATGCACATTTATGGTAAAACCATGTCTGCACAGTCAATGCAAACTTTTTTGATAAACCCCTTGAATTAAAGCTGAAAGGCTGCACTGTAATTATATCTTGATTGGTTGATGTAAATATCCACTGTCATGATGTAGAAAGGCAAAAAAACAACTAATGGACCTAACAATACAAGTAAAAAGACATTGTTATTACACAGTGAGCTCACTCTTTGTTACTTTATCTGTCTGTCTGTTCAGGGTCTGGGAGGCTCTTGAGAAGGCCAAGGGATTTAGATTTTGTCTCCAAAGTTCCTCAAAGGAAAGGGACTGTAATAAATGTGAATATTAAACCTGTTTTTTTTTTCATGTGTGCAGTTTCACAACAAGACAATGGTGTTTGTTAGCAGCACCATCTTGTCATGACAAAAAAAATGCAAAAACAGATCTAGTAAAGCCTGATACTTTATATTTATACAAGAAAGATATTTTGTAAAAATGACTCAGAGACACTGACCCAGCAACCAAACCTCAACCTCAATAAACAGAAAGTGCAGATGACAAATTGAACTGAATAACAACCAACTGTGGCATAGTTCGTTTTCATTGGATAAAATAAGAAAGATTAGTACATGCAGGGTTGCATTTTGAAAATTAGGATTTAAGACTGTACATATGTGTGTGTGCATGTGTGTGTGCGTATTAAAGAATGAACAGGTTTACCTTTCCTCTTCAGGAAACATTGTCACCATTAAATAAAACCTAGCATGCAGCTAACATGTGTCCATTTGTTGTGACAGGAAATGCTAGTAGTTCATGAGACAGCTCGTGGGGATGCGCACAATCCTTTTTCCCTCGTTGCTGTGAGTGAAAGGCAAATAAACTCATTAGATATCTGACTCTACTCACAATTCATGTCACGGGATCTAAAAACGTTTTTGACAAAGTGTTTTACATTTTCAAAAACAAGAACAAAATATGTCAAATTTGAAATACCTTACAAATGGAACTAAAAGTCTCCCCCCTAAAATGCATCCCGCTGTGATTACTGTCTAAATTTACATGAATGCGTTCAGCATGTACACAATTTGCAATTCTTTCTAAACATATATTATTTCTAAACACATTCAAAGGTAAAGTTTACATGAAATGGGATTTTCTCCATGAACTGATGCCTTATTCCCCTTTTTTACAGCTGACAAAACAAACAGCACCAGAGCGGGTCAGTTTCTGGATGAGTTATTTTACTGCTTACTGCATTGTAACATTACGTCAGCGAGTCATTTTCTGTGTTAGATTAAGGAAATTACATTAAGTGTCACTATTGTTTTAAATCTAAATAAAGAATATTTGTCTGATGACTTGCTGTGCTCGTTTCTTAAATAACCCATTTTGAACACAGTGAAGACAAAGTATGAGCGGCGACTGCCGAAAATGGGTGATTATGATTTCTATGGAAGCTTTTAACCTCACACTCATCATCTACTCACAAAAACCCTCCTTATAAATGAATGAATTACAAACGGCTTTTGTTGCATAGTAAAGGATTTCATCTAGTTACCTAAATCTTTCTCTCTGCTCTGCTGACGTGATCCTGTGACTATCTGCAAAGCCCTCGTTGACATAAGGACGTCCTCTAAGAGTCATGTTTCATTAGATCTCAATTGAAAACCCTGGATCTCTTTCATGATTACTCTGAATTTCAATGATGTCCAATTGAAAAATGTCTTTCTTGGTGCTTCTGAGCTCCTGCAGTTTGTTTGAGAAGCTCTGTTTAAATACAAATCATATTTGAACTGTTTTATATATGCAGCTAGTTATCTAAGAGGAGATATTTTGGTTTCTACGTTCACTAACCACCTTATGTACAACGTTGTCTTCTGAGGAGCTCGGGGAGGGGGACATGTGCAGTGTCCTTAAATCAGCAGTCCTCTTTAAGTGCTCCTTCAAAGCTTCTCTCATCTGATTGCGTTTCTGTGAGTCAGTCACTTCAGGACATCAAACCCCTCTTCAAATGATGCTGAAGTCTTTAACACATATTTGTCCTTTAACTTCCTCTTTCTCCTCACCAAACAACGTATGAACAATTATTTGCTGTCTACAGTCTGCTTTTCAGAAACAAAATATTCTATTCTTGGATATTTTTTTAATACAGAACAAATTACTCATAATAAAAAACAATCCTAAGGAAATGTAAGGCTTAAATATAGAGAACCCAAAGAACAATTGAGGTGTTGTTATGATGCTATCTATCCACACTGGTTTCCTGTAAGCGATTATTCATAATCCCCAGTGCTCCCACACCACCAGAGAAACCATTCTGATGGCTGTAGCTCTGCCGCGGGCCCTGGTGAGCTGTTTCACTCAGCTGTTTCTGCAGCAGTGCCAGAGACACCTTGTTGGACACCATGAACTCATTGACCGAGATCATCTCCCCTGACAAACGACGCCCCACTTGTACTTCAGCCAACGCGCCCGCATCCGTCTCGCTGTCGCACACAGTCTCAACCGAGCCGTCTGTGTAGCGGTGGTGGGATGAGATGGGCTGCACGGCGTTGCGTTTGATGCGTTTTGGCCTAAAGTGTGCCAGTTGACGCAGTTGACGCCTCTGTTTGTGATTTTTGTTGTGGAGACAGGGGCAGCAGAGCCACCAGCAGCCAGGGGTGGAGCAGGAACAGAGCTGATGCTTCCCTGAGCAGACCAGCTTTCCCAGGATCCAGTTGAGAGTCTGCTTGATGACGATAGAAATGACGTTGAAAAGTGAGTAGATGCAACAAACCCCCATTAAGATGAAAAGGCAGTTTCCAAACCGGTAGGCCTCCTGAGATTCGTACTGCTGCCTCTGGCTGCTCACCAGGTCCCCGAAGCCAATGGTGCTGAAGGCCACGAAGCAAAAGTACAGAGAGTCCACGTAGCTCCAGTTCTCCATGGAGCTGTACAGAGTGGAGGCACTGCAAGCAATCACAACAGATGCTATCCCTAAGATCAGCATCACGTAATAGACGGATGGCTTCCATCCTTCCAGACTGTCCTCTTCACCAGATGACTCCTCCCTGCTCGACACCACCCCAACTCCAGCACACCTCAGCCGACGCTCATGACACCAGCGCATGATGTAAGCTAACATGGTGATGATCCTCTCCAGGAAGAGGTTAAAAAAGAGGATAGTGGCAGCACAGCCAATGAGACCATAGAAGATTAGGAATATTTTTCCTGCTATGGTTGCTGGTGTGGTCATGCCAAAACCTTAGAGAGAAAACACAAAATACAAGGTTAAATAAATGATCACAGCCGTGAGCAACATTCCAAAACTGAAGAAAAGTCTGGAAAAAAAGTTAAGTGGAGACTTACCAATAGTGGAGACCACTGTGCCCACAAAGTAGAAAGCTCCAGAAAAGTCCCAGCGTGGCCTTAATGCGTCCACCCTGATGCCAGCTCCGTTTGCCTCCTCATACTGCCTCAGCAGAGTGTGCAGGGCGCCCAGGTTGACCCTGTATCTCCTGGTGAAGTTGTCCAGCTGCTGTTTCCACAGGAGGCGTGCGCGGAGCTCAAATGGGTGTTCCAAGGCTGAGAAGATGGCAGCTCCGCACAATAAGTAGAGCAGGATGAGTCCGGCCAGCAGGCAAAAACGAGCATTGTCCTCTTTCATGGGCGCTCTGGGGCAGCAGCAGCTACCTGCAGCCCTCCTCTTAGCCATGAGCACAGCAGCAGCAGCAGCACAGAGACACCACTGAAACAACATGCACCGCCTCTGCCGGCGCTGCCAAGTCACAGACTCACCGTGCGTGTTACATGCATCAACAGGCACAAATATACATGCACTAGCAGAATGAAACTTCTGGTTTAAACACACATGCATACATTTGGCTCTAACATCTCACAGGCAAGCTTTCTGAAGAAGTTTTTGAGGACAGGTTGATCGTTTTGTTGAAAAAATTTCACATCAGACGAAATATCTGTAATAAAATGAGCAAAAAAATAATAATGCAGATGCAGATTAGTCAGATGGGGTTGCAAAATCTTAAGTTTAATAGGTTGATTCCTTTAACATGACAAATTGTCAGAAAACACTTCTTGTAAGTAGCAGTTTATGTCTTATAATCCGCACAACATAAAATACTGAAAGTTTAAAGTAAATAAAAACCACAGTACCTGGTCTCGCTGGCAGCACCGTTCACTTAAGCGCTGCAGATCTGCGTGTGCTCATTCCATGGATGTTCTGAACAATGACCAGCCAAAGGAAGCCTCTTGATTTTGTGTCTGTGAGTGTGTGTGTGTGCGCGTGTGTGTGCAGAGAGACTGTCTGATGTTTCATCTGTCAAACACTCACATCATCATCCCTCTTCTCACCGCCTCCTCCTCCGAGCACACCCTGATTGGTGCAGTCAACTCTTCATTTGTAAAAGTGCTTTTTTTTCTTTTCTGTCATCAAACACCAGTTTAACATTAAAAAAAACAACTCACGTTTGCTTCAAATAACTGATCGTGTGGTCATTTGCTTTCATCAAAGCATGGGACAAGAATTTCTTCTGATAAAGTAAAACTAACATTAACCTCTTAAGCCCCAAGCCTAACTGATCTCCTGCCTTTTGCCCCCGCATCAGGGGGCGTTGGGGCTTAAGAGGTAAAAAAAAAAAACATTGTAGTAACAGGATTAGAAGCTTGCAAGTTCTGCTGAATTAATCAAAGTGGGCAAATTTTAGTTTCCCCTGCTCTCTTGTTGCCAGTGCTCAGGTGTCATTTCCACACCCACTTAGAGTGCTTTTTTGTTATCGCTGCAGACTGTGTGGGAGGATTTGTTGAGCATGGCTATCGGTTCCTCTGTCTGTTCGTTCCTTTAATCTTGTCTGGCGCTGCAGGTAAGGGCATGGGGTTCCCCGCGCCTGCCGACTAATGGCTGCACGTCAGCAGCGGGCAGGTGTGGAAAACAGACAGTCCATCTGCCTTGTCACGCAGAAAAGCAGCAAAGCAACAATTTCTCTTGATGCTGGTGTTTCAAACGATAAAAAACAAGATTTAAGGCAATCAGCTTTCACAAGCAAACAAGACATAAAAGATCACATTTGTGGAAACTTGATCATTTTACAATACTTAAAAGTGCATAAAATACTAACTACTTGCTTAGCTTTAAAAAGATAGAAGTGAAAAACGAAATATAGTGCTGACAACAATGCAACAAATAATCATCTACAGAAACACTGACCCTGCTAACACAGTGATTTTCAGCTGGGGTAAGGTTGACTGTGTTCTCTCTTGGCTTTTCTTGTTTCTCTACTCTGTCCTCTCTCCTCCTGCCTTGGGCCCATGAATGTATTTCAGTTCAACCTTGTTGAAGTAGATTTCCAATTCCTAAAATATAATAAACCTCCTCTGTTCTCTGTCCATCGGGACAGCAGGCCTGCTAGAGAGGCTATCATTGAGGATGCACAGATGTATCCTTTGCATTAGTATTTTTACCTGAAACATATAGAAGGAACACTGTATACAGCTGAAATTTACAAACTGTGGAGGGCAAATGGGGTCTTCAATCAGCTAGTCTTTTGTATTCACACATTCATTCGGGTATTTTAGATGATTTATTATGTGATCAAACATTCTGACCTTCACTGTCTGTGTGTGTTTTACTCTTGTTTTGATTAAGACTAATTAATTCTTTTTTTTTTAAGTCTAACACTGTTGTACCTCATAAATCAGATCTGAAAATGCAGCTGGTTAAATTCATGACGCGATCATGACACACACATCAAACTGAGGATGTCTCATCTTTCTAACTGCTTGTTGTGTTGACTCCTCTCTCTTCATGTCTCTTCCTCTCCTCCTCCACTCTTACCACTAATGGGAGGGACTAAGATGCCAGGGGAGGAGTCTAGGAGAGGAATCAAAGACGTCCAACTGCCAGCAGGATTTAATGTTAATGTAATGCGCAAGTTTGGCTGCCACTGGCACACCATCCAGATTTACTTTACAGGTTTACGCAGACACACAACCAAGTAAGTAGTACAGTGGGAACATTTTCCAGCATGTAGCCAATCAAAATAAATAAATGTCAATAAAAATATTGAACTTTAAAAAAAAATGTGCAAAAAATGCAGCTAAAGCTATCTTGCTGGACCTTAAGGGCCATCCTTCTCTGTACTGACCATAACTGTCAATCTTAATCTGTTATCCGGAGTTAATGAAACAGTCGCACATAATGTCACTAAGGGCTCAGTGTAAATTTGTCAAAACCTTAAATTGCTGATATCAGTATGAGATAAGCTACAATGGTTAATATGAAGCATTATTCATTCCATTAATGCTTCATATTAACCATCATTACCATCCATCTATTTGCTTCTGCTTCTCCAGTTCAAGGTCACATGGGTGCTGAAACCTAACCCAGCTGTCACTGGACAAGAGGCAGGATACACTCTGGACAGGTCACCAATCTGTCACACCATCATTACCAAATAAACACTTAAATTAAATTAATGGGGTAAATATTTTGAAAAATTTAACAAACAGTTAATAACTGATGTATAAAACATTATATTAGTGACTATTATAATGTTACAACTGATGTTTCTGAATCTTTGTAAATGCTCATTATCAACTATTAATAATGACAATATCATAGCAGAAAGAATATATCCACTTTTCATATACTTTTCCTATTGTACCATTTTAGTGATACAATGTCACTTTTAAACTGATCAACCCAGAGGGGATGTCCATATTTTTAGCTTGTAATTGGTAGAGGCATGTGTTTCCTGAAATAGTGAGCAGGTCAGCTCAAGACAGAAATGTCAGACATCTCTGGCTGAGGCTGGAGAAAACTGCGTTTGTGTTTGGCTCTGCAGTGCAGGTGGGGATAATGTGTAATGCTGGATTTACACTGCATGCCATTATGAAGCTGAGGCCATCATCAAACTATTAACAAAATATGGTATGTGCAGAAAACAGTAGTGACTTATTTAGTGAAGCATAGTGTTTACACTACTTTAAATTTCCATTCATGTAAACTCATTCTGCCTGACCACTTGCTGATGTTTCATTTAAGTCATAACAAGTTCCCAAAACTTCTTTAGTACGCATACAATCCACGTCACACTGCGCTGATCCCAGTGTGTGTGTTTTATGTCCTTTCAGACAGACAGCGAGCACCTCACACTTCAGACTCAATCACTCAACTTATGGGCGAACACTGTCTCCATGGTAACAGTTCCTCACCCAGATTGAGCGAAGGCAAGCAGAGGTCAGGTTGTCCAAACGTTTAGGGGGAGGCACTTGTTTCTGACAACTAATATTAACCACTTAACCAACCAGTGGAAAGTAAACACACACTTGAGACAATGTCAACACGGTTGTTTTTCCTTTCTTGAAACACTGAGCTGACAAAATGATGTATTAAATTTTAAAGAAAATTTAACTGGTAGCAGCTTCAGAAACACGAGGAGATCCTTGGTACTGTCTGATCATTGCACAATATAAATATAGTCTAGCAGCACTGTTTGGAATTACTTATCTAGATAAGAGAAACATGTCACACAAGAACTAAAACTTTTCAGTAAAACATTAATTTTATTCTACTAATAAGTGATTTTACTATTATACTAATAATAATACTACATCATTCTAATACAATATATTGTAGAATTATATTATCATAATGTAGACAAGAAATGGTTTTTTGTTTGTTTTTTCAGCATGACAATGATCCCAAACATGCTAGCAATCCAGCAAAAGCATACCTGGATAGAAAAACACACAATGCACACAACACGCAATGCAGTATCAGTCATGGATTGGCCTCCCCAGAGACCAAACCTCAGAATTACTGAAACATTGTGGGAATCTTGTTGCACCTATTTCCCATTTTCCAGCAAAATATGAAGAAATGAGGGCTCATATTTTTTCACATTACTTTATATTGTATTGGATGCTTTTAGCAAATTTTAATAAAGCTAATATTATCATTACTCGTTGTTATTATTACTGTTACATTGTCGCCGTTACACTGCTGCATCGTTACTTGATTAGTCTATCTGACATTTTCGTGCACCGTGAACATTCACCGTATTCCATTTCGTGTGGTTGTAAGAGCAGTGTCTGATCGGTACCTGTGGAGGGCGCCCGCACGCCTGCGAGGCATCGAGCCTTCATCTAATCGAGACAGAGGAAGAGGCGGCAGCGGCAGAGAGAGGTAAAGAAGAAGAATTTAACGGTTCCCGGTTGTTGAACCGCTCCGGTCTCCACGGTGCCCTGCGGCTTATGAACAGTTTGGGGCTTGGGGTGACGGTCATTTAGTCGACTAGCAGTTATAGTTACTTCATTTAGATAGGTCACCACCATGTTTTTACTAAAGGTAGCAATGTTTTGACAGCTTACCACCCTAAAGAGCATCACTGCACGCAGAGGTAACGTTCATTTGTTTGATTGCACATCTAATAACGCTGTGTGGTTGATGTACAGATAGCTCTGTTAGCGCTCTGTGAATCCACTAAAATAATACTTGTGCTAACTAACCATAGTGTCCGTGCTAGCTAACCCTAGCTAGCGCTGGTCAGTTGACCAGAGATGTAACTCTCGCTAGCTGACGGAGAAGTAGGAGAAAATGTTGCACCGTAGTTTAGAACAATGCAATTATCTCTTCCAACGAAACCGTGCTTAAATTTAACGCTGTTTCACTCGAAGTAAATCTTTTTTTCCCATGCGATGTGATAAAATGTTGCACATATCTTATTAGCAGTACCGGAGAAAGTGAAGTCGAGCGCGAAATCTTTCAGCGTTTTAACGCCACAAAAGAGACGCAGTTAATGACGTACTTTATTAAACAGTGGCTTAAGATCATCGTCAAATCCCTCAAGTGCCATACCGTTTGACTGAAGCCATCAATCAGAACTTTTACTGTAACAATGTTGACACCTTTTAAAATGAACTATGTCCGCTGCCGCCCCCTGCGGCTTACTTGTGTAATAGCAGGCTGTGCGAGAGGAGCCGAAAAAAACAAGAGAGAAATGGTTATTGAAGATATCTATTTGAAGATAAGAAATGCATATGTTGTGAATAATATTTTATGCTTTTAAAATTAGGTTCTTAAGGAGGGTATGCCTTGTTTCACTAACCTGTAAAAATATCAACCCTGTGCAATCAATAATGATACAAGCATACATGTTTTTATACACACTAATATATTTATGTTTTATTTATTCGAAATTGTGTTATTAGTCTTTGTACATATGAAAACTATTTAATTAGATATATTGCTCACTTTCTACTGAATGGGACTGCGTACCTTTTTTTTTATTTTTTGTTTAATGACAATAAAAATTATGATTCTGGCTGTGATGCTGAAAAAAATCTTAATGTCACTGTAATAAGACCGAGAATTGCAAACATTCCCAAAATGTTGGGATATTTTTGTGAGATGCACAGAATGATACAATATATTTTTCACAACACATCATTTAATTCCCATTTTATTGTTGAGTATGCATGTCTTCATGCAGATTTTCCCTGTTATCCTTCGAACAATACAGTGTTGAGATTTATCAGTCGCTCAACATGATCTTAAAGGCTCTGCTGTGTGTGAAGAAGCGTGGGTCAGCTCAGGATTACGATTATGCTTTATATTTTGGCTCAGGTGTCAGATGTACGCATACATCTGTCTCTGTTTTAACAGGAAAGGAGTTGGTTGATTCAGTTGCTTCTAATCGATTGGAATAATTTGTTTCTCCGATTTAGAGCCGGAGCAATGGAGGAAGGCTCTGAGCTGATGGAGGATATTGTATTTCGGGGGGTGGAGTTTTCCGTGAAGATGGAGGTGGACAAGGGTTTGCTCATTGCCGAAATCTCTGATTCAATGACAGCGGATCAGTGGAAGGGGGAGTTTGATCCAGCATGTAAGTGGCGTATACATCTCAGTTTACTTATCACTATAGCCAGTCATTCATGCTGTTTAACTTTAACTGCTTTTTCATTTATTTAGATATTGAAGACCTCACTCGCAAAACTGGCAACTTCAAGCAGTTTCCTATTTTCTGTAGCATGCTGGAATCTGCAGTGAGAAAGGTGTGTGTGGGGGGATTAGAGGCAGAACGAATGTAAACACAGTTAATAGATGAATACAAAGAGACAGATTTCCCTGAGGCTGTGTGAGCCGAAGAAGAGACTCGGTTGTGTTCATTGTCTCCACTTAAGCGAAAAATGCCCAGTTATCCCAGGATGTCCTACTCCCTTTTTCCTTTTAATTAACGTGTAGTAGCAGGGGGGGAAAGAAGGAGCCTGGAGGAAATTAGGAGAGACAAACTGAATTTTTGGCACATTTTTAAGTCTGCGGCAACTAAATTGTCATGAAAGCAAGGTATACACGCACACTGTAAATGTTAAAGCTAGACAGAAAAACATGCTTTCTGATATAGCTGAAGATGCATTATTAGAAAATTAGATCCATGATCATTAGAAGAGATGGCTGATATTTTTTGCCATTAAATTGCTGTAAATTGGGGGGGTAAATATAAAATCAGGAGCCTACAATCATAAGACTGTTCCCTAAGGTGATAATGGCATGTTTTATTATTCTGATTGTTGAAAGAGATGCTTCTTTGCAGACGAGTGACTCTGTTACGCTTGACCTCCTGACCTATGCTGACCTGGAGCTACTGCGAAACAGAAAAGCAGGGGTGGTCAGTCGTCCTCGCAGCCATCAGCAGCCATCTGCTCTCACCGCCAAAAGATATCTCATTCTCATATACACAGTGGAGTTTGACAGGTTTGCTCACAGCTTTGCTGCTTTATGCCCTCTGCGTCTGTAGTAGAAGCTGTGCTGATGTTCTGATTTTCTGTCCATGTGTAGAATTCACTACCCTCTACCTCTGCCCTATGTGGGAAAGCCTGACCCAGCTGTCCTGCAGAAGGAAATCAGAGCGCTCAGGGCTGAGCTCAGTGCTCTCACCTCTCACGGAGTTAGCAAATCTGCAGATCTAGAAATACAGCGGCTACGAGCAGAGTAGGTTTAATCTCTACCAGTGTTACCAATATTAGCAGATGCTGGCAGTTTTCTTCTTCTCTTTTTTAAATGTCTCCTGCTGTTTTCAAGGCTGGCTCTGGTTAAAGAGGAAAAGGAGAGCATGGCCAAGGTTCTGGAGCGACTGCAGTTGAGTGGAAGTGATCCCACATCTGGACGAGAGGACTGGAGAATGAGAGATGTGGTGAGGACGCTGGAGGAGCAACTTGTCAAGGAAAGGGCCAAAAGTCAGCGCTCGATGAGCAAGAGATGTCAGGAGCAGCGACTGCTAGTTGAGCAGGTGATGCTTCTTTGTTTTTTTTAACCCGTGTAACGCCCCCTTTTTAAAATAAATCAGTAGGTTTTAACTTTTTCTTCTTTCCCTTCCAGTTAGAGGAGCTGAGAGCATCAGAGTGTGCTCTCCGTGTTCGTGTCAAGAGTCTCACCAATGAACTGGCGTTACTACGGAGAGGGTTAGACAATCTAAGCGTGTACTATATCTTTACTTTCTCTCCTTCATACATTCGCTTACACGCTTAAAATTTCAAAAACCAAATCAGTCACCCACTGAACACTCGTGCTGTTTTTCTTGTGTATGCAGCAGAGTGACTCCTGTGTCGGGTCGTATCAGCTCACGGGTAGATGGAGAAATTTATCGCTCCCTTTCTCGGGAGAGAAGGTCTGGGTACGGGACAATCAGGGCTCGCTCGGGATCTAGAGAACGTACAGAGGATAGAGGACAGAGGTCGGTGGAAAGAGGAAGACGTGCAGACTCCTCGGGACCGCGTGCTCGCATACCCAGGCCATCACCTTCCCCCACAGGTTCTACCTCTTCTCCTGATGTTGTTTCTGTGAATGAGTTCTCAGTAATTAATCCCACTGATAAAGATTTGTACTTGATAAGCACTTCTGTTTTTGCAGGGTCACGGGTTCCACGCTTTGATCCAACAGCATATATCCAGGACAGGCAGCGCAGACAGAAGGAGGCAGAAATCAAAAAGTTGGTTTCCTCACTTTGTGAGTATACGCCAGTACTCCGTGTAGTAGCTGCTCAAGCATGTTTTTCTGTGTCAGACAGAGGAAGGTGCGAAGGGACATGCTGGCATCACCCGTGCTCCCCGAGAGAGGCCGTTCACGTTCCAGAGAAGCCTATCCTCAGCTGACCCGGTCAGGCAGCAGAGGCAGGAGTTTATCTATGGAGCGGCGAGGGAGCAGGAACTCCTCTGAAAGCTCGTTAGTGGACATGGATGAAATGACCAAAACTCTGTACAGGTGATAGTACTTTGGATGGATTTGTGAAGGCCCTGTGGGTGTAGCTGGCTATTTTAATGTCTGGGTTGTTTTTTTGTTTTTTTTCTTTCATGTTTTCAGAGGAAGAAAACAGACTTACAATGGACCCAATGTAGTGAGTAATGACTTTCCTGTTATTTATTTGTTGTCCTCTCCTGTATGTATTTGAAAAGAGCTGATACCAGCCTTTTTAGGGTATGAAAGCAGTGCAGGTAGTAGATGTTAGTGGAATTAAATCACTGAGAGTTATAGTTTTTAATGGTTTTGTAGCCACTAAGTACAGAATATTACAGGCCTTAACATTTACAGTGCAATTTATCTGTCTCTAGTCCAGGGGAGGCCTTCTGTCCAGGAAGCCATTATGCAGCACACCAACACTCAGAGTCAAAGACAAAGGTAACTTGTAACTTTTTTTTTTGGTCCCCATCAGTTTACATGCATTTTTGGTTTTTTAAAGTCTAATTTGTCATTTGTTGTCCCAAACCCCAGAAAGCTCTGTAGATACAGGTGCAGAGCTATCAGAGATTGATGCAAGGCTGCAGGCACTGCAGGAGTACATGAGAGACTTGGATACAGGACATTGACCTGCTGCACAGGATTGTCTGATTTTGTCATCTGCATAAAACTGAGGAAGAAATCCTGATTTGGACCTGAGCTTCGGGTTTAGCAGAGTATGCACTAACATCAGAGACTAAAACTCCCTCTGGAAGCTCAGACTTCTGGAAACTACAGCCATCAATATGAAGGTCATTGGACTACCTTTTTGTGGACTAATTTCTTATGTTTTTATAAATTAACTTAAAATATGATTGTGTCTGTGTGTTGCCAGCTTTTTCCCCCCTTTTTTAAGCCCAAACAAACTGATACATGTGTGTAAAATTTGGCATTGCCTGGTAAATGTTGATCTTTCAAAGGCTTGTTTAATAGTGTGGGCAGAGTTGAGTCCTTTTATATTCAGTCCATGATGCAGAAAGCCATTCCATCACTGGGTTTGCAGGTAGAGCGTTTGTTTATCTATCAGCACGCCAACATCCATGTCTGATCCTTGCTTTCATCATCAGTTTAAAATGCGGAACATTTTTTTACGATTTCTCCGTTAATGAGTTGGTGTTAAAAAAGTGATCCATACATCTTTTGATACATTACAGAAATGTCCATGAGGATGAGTATACCAAAATGTTATAGTACATCCACACATTTAAACATGTAATGGGGCTGTTGTTTCTACCACCCAGTGCTTGCTGGGATGCCTTACAGCTCCTGTGCTCTGAATCAGTGGATGACATAAGTGATACATGGTGGTCAGTTGTTTTCCACCTTTTTAAAAAATTATTATTATTATTTTACCTTGTCTTCCCACTTTGAAGTAAGGATTATCAGTGCATCTCTCAAGTATTTTGTTACCACTATACAGTCTAATTGTTCCACACAGTGCAATACAATACAGCCTTTTCTGCCCTTTAAATTCAGCATTATTTTGATGGTATCACAAACTGATTCCAAACTTGTTAGACATTTCTATAAGGGAACAATATTTACCATAAAAACAATGTTTTAATAGGCTATGCTGATGGTGCATGTAAAGTGTGTAAAAACGTGGCACATTTTTCATAAGAAATTGTCAAATATTTTCTGAAACTGTTGTCTGCAGACTGTTACTAGAACTTTATCCATTGTTTTTATACCACCTAAAATATAATTTATAAGAAAGATATGCTGTGTGTAAGGAGTCTTTTTATAGTTTTATACATACTGCTTTCCTTTGGATTAGTGTTCACTGACAAGAAGCTTGAGGGGTACCTTGAAGATCTTCCAGCACTGCAGCTGGTCTGCTTTCACTAATTAACAAGTCCTCTTCTCAGGCAAACCAGACAGTGTCTGAACAGCTGCCGTGTGCCTAGCAGGACACTCAGGAGGGGAAACATGAACACCTTATGTTGGTTTATGCCATGCAGAAATTTGGCACTCACTCACATCCACAATGTGTTGCAAGCTTCACCTTTTTTACACAAGAATGCAGACACAGATTAAAAAAAGATTAGTGTAAGCCATATATTTGTTTTGTTTTTTATGGCAGGTCAACCCTTTATGTGCCATACAAGTAGCTTCTTCTGTCTGTTTGATTTGGCAGATTTTTTTTTTTAAACATGGGACACCCTGACACAACACCAAAGGGATTTGTGTCTCCTGGGACTGAACAGGGGATCTTTCACTTGTTAGCCAAATGTATAACCACTAGACTATGGACTATCTACTACTGTCAACAAATCTAGAACAATTTCCCTTGTGGGATCAAAAACATAGCCATCTGGTACAGCTTTATATGATTCAAAGTTCAATACTGGGCCTTGGTTCCATCATTTTACATTCATCTTTTGAAACAAACCCTTTAGCTCTTTTTCAGCTTACATTGTAAACAGAAGATTTATATGTTTGACCCTAATAGGAACACTTATGTCATACATATTAAATAGTTGGGGAAAAAATCCTCTTGACACAGAACATTCAAAGTAGCCTGAAGCCTGGATTAGATGTACAAACACTGACCTCGTTATTTGAAAAGTCATATTTAATGATCAATACCATCAACATGTGACAGGAGATAAGGAAAATATAAAAGGTGCACTTTAAAGCATGAAAAAAGTAAGTGTCTACTATATGACTTTAATTTAATATAGAAAAATATTAGAAGAGTTAATCAACAGGTCAAGGATTAAGGCACATACCAGTGTTCACCAGTTAGCTTTTGGTAGCAGCGAAACAGCCAAGCAACTGAACAACTACATGATAATGTTTCCTGTGAAAAGGCTGAAAAAGTGCTAAACCAAAGTGACACCGCTGGCCTGTTGTTTACGTTTAAACAACTTTGGAAGCTCAGTGCAAACTACTCTTGTAAAACATTCAATCTTCTGGAGGAAATAAGTAATAAAACAAAAACTACAACTTTCTCCTCCTACAAAGATAATTTTCTTGCTCAAGTCTGTCCAGGCTGCTTCACAGTCATCTGAGTCGCATCATTTCTTCGACTGTTCAGTATGCTTTGTATTCTGAATGTGAGCTAAGAAGGGGAATGATGGAAAAAATGTATATTAGTACAATAGTACGTACACACAGGTGCACTCACAGGTGTACAAATTACTTACTGTTTGTTGCTGTCCAAGAGCGTCTCGATAAAAAGCATATAAATGTTCCTGCTTCTTCAGATCGTATTGTCTCCAGACCTCAGCTTTGCTCTTTACCTCGGCCTCAGGCAACTGGGCGTACTGCTGCCGCTGTAACAGAATATTTTGAACTCAACTTACATAAGTTTGCATTGTGAGTCGTCTGAATTTTGTTATCTGCCACTGCCTTGTGAAAACGCTGGTTTTAAGTTGATCCAGGATTAGCTGATCTTGTTAATGCAAATCCTATTTATTCAGTGACTCAAAGCCACAAGAGCGTATGAACAGCCAAGATAAAATTATTGACCAGAGAACACAATCCAACATCAGAAACACTGCGGAGCTGGAGGACAAAGAAGTGTTTACTGACATTAATGACACAAAACAGTGCCAAAAACTGACCGACATTCATAAAAGGCCCAGCATGGCACTGAATGAATTTTTTTACAAGTACAGCTATGCAAAAGATTTTGCAAAATATGTTTCAATTTTAAAGTGAATTAAATACTTTTTAAAACTAACATAAATCAACATTTAAAGAACTTTATTTTCCTTAAAAAAATGCCCATCGCCACAGGATATGAGGGTCACTCACCATTAGAAACATGTATTCCTCAACAGTGCGAATCCTCATTTTCTGCAGTGCCGCGAAGGTCACTGAAACAGTTGTTCTGCTTTTGTTAAGCAGTTCCTGTAGAGACATTTTTACTTAATATATAATATAAAACACAAATGTTACTAAACAGTGAGGCGATAAAATGACATATTTATACCAATAGCTGCTCATTGGTTTTTAAATCCAAATCATCTTGGTGAGAGGTCTCTGGAACACTGGCTGGGTGTGACTGAGTAAAGACAGACAGTTTTACTCATATGCATATGATGTAAAAGGTGGGGATAATCAGTGCTTTGCAGTGAGCAGTCCTGTACCTCAGCTTCATACTCATCCCAAGCAGCTTTCCGTTCTGCCTCACTGAGCTCCTCGTCTTGTTTATGGTCCAGCAGGGATTCGTGCTCATGGTAAGTCACTATGTGGTCTTTGCAGTCTTCTAACAGCTGTGCCAGAACCGTATCCTGAGAAACATACGAGAAGTTATCTAGTGCTGCAAAATCTTAGTCAAACACCTGCGTGGTGTTTGACTAAGATTAAGACTGTAAGATTGAGACTGAAAATTAAGACTGTCGTTACCATTGGCAACACAGAAGCCGGTCTTTTGCTTTTCTTAGAGTTTGGATCGTTGAGCAGGTCTGGCTCGAATGTGTAAAGTTCAGTCAGCTCATGAAAGGTGAAGTGTCTCTCAATCTGCTGCTGATCTACTACTCGGAAGGAAAGCGACTGCTTGGTCACCTGCCGATCGTAGATTTTCTCCTCCATGGTGCCCTGAAGATGACAACAATCACAATAACTAAATAAAAGAGTTGCAGCTGCAAGAATTAGTCCATATAAATTTTTGCATCGCTTTTCAGTTTACGTCTGATGTTGTTTTAATTTGAAAAGGACTATTTAGTGACCAATCTTAAACATTTCATCTGTTGATGTAACATGTGCAGAACATACAACAGTGGCACAGTAGAAAAGAAGCACATATGACTTTTAAACAGTGCCGTTTCTTCGAAACTACTAGAGAGGCCACAACTGACTTAAGGTCAAGACTTAGTGGAGCTCAATTTTCTAAATAAAAAAGCAAGCTTACCTGGGCCAAGAAGCGGTACACAAACACTTGTTTCAGCTGACCAAAGCGGTACACTCTGTAAATGCTCTGGATGTCATATGAAGGATTCCATGAGGCATCAAAGATGATCACCCTGTTAGCAGCCACCAGGTTGATGCCAAGTGAGCCGGCTTTTGTTGAGATGAGGAACAATCGGCCGCTAGAATAAAGAGTATTCAAATTCAATCCGAACCTTCTGTTATATCAGTGTAGTTCATATAAAAGATGTGACAGAGAGAGACATTCTTTACCGGACATTTACAGGATTGTTAAACTCATCTGCCCACTTCTTCCTCAGTGTGGCACTGGTGGAACCATCGAAGCGGTAATAATCAACATTTTTAACCCAGCTGCCTGCTGTTAAAATTTAAACACAAGGAAGAAAAAAAAGCATAAAAATATAAACAGGCATTTCCTCTTAACTCATTCTTTTCCTCTCCCATTAATAGAATACTACCTTTGAATGCTGATGGGTCTCTGGCACGGTGAGAATCCGCAAGAAAATCCTCAATCAGGTGTAATGAGATCAGTGACTGACTGAACACAATCCTACAAACGCATTTATGACATTAGACGCTGGCAGATCACTTGTTTAAATCTGCTTCATATCAGAAAACAAACATACACTTTATCCTCCAGTTCTTCAGCCATTCTCAGGATCTCAAACAAGAGCACCATCTTCCCTGAGTGCTCCAGGATTTTGGCATCTCTTTCAGAGAGAAGATCCTTGTACCAGCGCTCATCGGGACTCGGAGGCTTCAAGCTGATGGGTGCGTTCTCTACTGCTAAAGACATAAAATGGGAAAAACTGTAGCACATTTCACAAGCTATATTTGTTGGAGTATTAGTGGCATGTGGAGCTTTTATACCTTCCACTGCACAGACAACTTTGACATCATCAATAATTGGTGTGCTGTTGTGAGTGTTATTCCCTTCTTGTCCTTCGTTCTCTTTCATTCCTTCACACCAGCTAAAAATGAAGAAATAAACATAACCATTGTAGCATATGTATGCATGCTCCACATCTCTTCCTGGACGAGTGGACTAACCTTGATGAAACTTTGCATAAACATTGCCTTAGGGTACTTTGACTACCAAAATCTATATGGCGTATACAAATATTCTATACAAACTCCACAATCACATTTATTAGTGACACTTCCAGAGTTTATACACTTCCTGTCTACACAACATCCATTTTTCAATCTAGATTTATGCATCACGTTTCCTTGGATAGCCAGTTGGTCTACAATCTGTATTTGTTCCACCACTGCTTGAGAATACATCTTAAAGGAAAGGTCTTTAGTATTCCCATAACCCACCAGAATTGTTTTAGGGGTGCTTTAGGCTTTAATGAATAACAAATGAAGAGGTCTTACCTCTCAGCCTCAGTCATAGGGGTCTCTGCATCCTTGGGCAGATCTGCTGCTTTACCTTTACTCTTCTTTGCAAAAGAAAAAGAAAAACATGTTATTTCAGACTAATGAGTAATCAACATGCAGTTACGGAGATCTTTCTACCTTTTTTGATTTGCTCAGGTAGCTGAGCTGAAGGCACCATGGATGAGTCCAAATTCGGCCAAGGACCTGAAAGTCCTTGAACAGGTTTGCTCCAGGCCTCATCTTTTTGCTGTTATGTAAGGAGCTTACACCTGGGAAAAAGCACAACCATCTATAAACTCTTCAAGTAAAAAAAAAAAAGACATCTATTTTAGGTTTATTTTAGGGCACAATACAGATCCGCACCTGTGAAATGGTCAAGGTAGTATCGGTATAGATTATACTGAAGTGGGGAAACCCTCACTGCCAGCACGTACTCATACTTCGGAGGCAGAAACTGTCGAAGCTCCGAGTAATCTCTTCTCTAAGGAAAAGACAAACACAGTATTGTGAGCTGGAATATAAATGCAATGAAGAGAGCATTCAGATGTTCTATTATTTTTACCTGTATGCATCCGCCTAGCACTGAATGCAGTACATGTGCTCGCTTCTTCATGATTCGGACATCTTTCGGGGTGGAGTCAGCGCACTGGCCGTTCTCTATGGGGTTGATGAAGCGGTTCCTGAATTCGCCCAGTGAGCCCAGAAGGTTCTTCTTGATGAAATTGACCATGCAGTGGTCTGGGAACAAAATATGTATTCGCAAAAAGATTTCTAAACAAAACAACTAATAGATTGGGCTAAAAGCCTTTAAAAACTGAGCACATTGTGAAAAACAAATCAAAATTCAGAGTTTTTTGGATGCAAATTTGTCACGTAACGTAAATAAACACTAAAAGTGTCCCAATTTTGCAGAAGATTTGTCCTTAAAAACACACTATGGAAAAAAGGAGTCAACATCAAGCGATGATGAGCTGATCCTGATGTTTCTAAACACGAAAAGGAAGAAACAGAGATTCTGGGTGTGTTCAGTATTCAAGACGAGGCAGTAGCAGGGAGAATTTCATGGTTTGGTATGACGACCGCTTTCAGGAGTGGTCATTTGAGGAGGCAGAGAAATCATTTCAGAAATCATGCCAATATATTCAGTACCGTGGTACGTTTTTGAGCAAGTACACTTTTTGCCAAATGTAGTGGCCTGATTGGTCAGAAAAAAGAGGGAAAAATCAAGCCTGATCTGAACTTTTGTAGTGCCAACACTATGTTATACTTTGACTTGAATCCACATAACGAAATGAAACAAATAAAATAAGTCAAAGCAGAAAATCAGTAGCTTGGCATCACCAGACAGATCTACAAAGGCAGGAAATTCTGGATGTTCTCATGTCTGTTGTCGATGTTCTGAAGCGAACAGAACTACAACCAGAATTTCAAAGGTGTGATATAGTACTGAGCAACAAAATAAATCAAACAAACCACAGCATTCAGGAATGTTAGCAGTAGGTCACACCTGCTGCATAATGAAAGAAGTGGCTGTGGAAGAGCAAACAGACACTTTGCAGCATAGCAAATTAAGAGCTCTCAAACTAGCTTTGTATCCTGGTCAGAAAAAAAGGTTAAAAGCATCGAAACCAAACTACACAACTGGCTTCTGAACACAAATAAAGGAAACAAAATTTGATGACTACAATTACTGCAAATCCTGTTTAAATGGGGACACTTGAGAGAGTAACTCTCAACATCATGCACTTATTTAAACTAATTATAATCCCAATGTTTCTCTGTAATCACTTTAGGACTTCATGGCCACAGTTATGATGACCTAGTGCTGCAGACTTACACTCAACGAGGTTGTTCTGCAGTGGCGTGCCAGTCAGCACCACTCTTCTTTGAGTTTTGATGGCATTCATAGCTTTGGAGATATTAGAGCCATCATTACGCAGGATGTGCCCCTCGTCACAAACCACAAAGTCGGGACCTGAAAGGAAAAACAACATCAGATTCCATGAGCAAAGGCACGACACCTAAAATAGAAAGTCTTTTAATAGTAGCATGCCATAACAAAGTCACTGGACCTGGATCCACAAGTGTGCGATAAAACTCCTCCTTCCACTCGTCGTTGTTGATTTTACAGTCTAATGACAGGATGCGGTACATGTCATACCCCATTATCATCACACCTCCGTCTCTCTGCCACCTCTGCAGAGCTCTGAGTCGACCCAAGTTATGCTTCATTGTAGCCAGTTCTATCACCTGTGACCAATAAGGACATGTTGCTGACACCATATGAGGCAAACCAAAGATTTCTGGCCTTGTTTTTTTATATATATATAATTTTAAATTTTAAATTTCTTTGGTTACCTTGACTTTATCTTCCCCCATGTTGTTTTGCCATTTCCTGAACTCACTGACCCAGTTGAGGATGGTATTAAGCGGACACACAACCAAAGCAGTTCTAAATTTCAGTTCTGTGGACAGCAACACTGTGTGGAGGAACGTCACCACCTGTCAAATGAGACAACTATGAATATGACACATCCAGAAGTGCTGTCCCCTTCTAATGGACAAGTTCATTTAAAACAGACTGAGATTAAGTGAAAAACTTCCCCGTAGTATGACTGATCACATCTTTCATTTCTGTTTTCCGAAATCAACGACTCTGCATTCACTAGGCTAAAGAAGAGAGGGACCATAAAGCCCACAGTGTGTCAACAGTACACAATTCATAAGTCAGCATTCGTGATGCTATAGGGGTGTAAAAGTGAACATAGAATGCATAAGTCACCATAATGCTGAACAAGACAGACAGGTTTTAGAGCAACATTTACTGGCATCCACTTGAAATCTTTTTCAGGGAAGTTCTTACTTATTTCAGTAAGATGACATCAAACCACATTCTACATCTATTACAAGATCATGACTGAAAGCAAAAAAGAGTCAGGCTGCTAAACTAGCCCGAAACAGTCCAGGCCTGTCACCCATTGACCCAACAGAACTGCTCAGAAAAATAGGAAACAGCAATTTGCTAAAAGAAAAGAAAAACATCTCACTGTCTCAAGGCATAAAATGAGCAGATATTTTTATATTTTCAAAAAAACAAATACTCAATTTCAGCATTCGATATGTTCAGTAAATGAACCTAAATAAATGTTCAAATACATAAATAAAAATGCAATCTACTTTTCCTGACGTTTCACACAGTATCACAACTTTCTGAAAAGACCGGGCTGTATCAAAAATGAAAGCACAGACAGAAAATAATCTTTGGTTCAGGGAGAGCGATTTGTGATTCTGTGCAACTAGCATATCAAGGGTGGACGTGTGTGTGTCTTTACCTGCAGAGTCTTTCCGAGGCCCATGCAGTGTGCCAGTACACAGCCTGATCCAGGAGTGGAGTTGGCCTTCTTCACAGACTCACAACAACTATCCCAAATAAACTGGACGCCTTGGGGAATGACATTGTGATTAGGTTTTTGGGGTGTTTTTAAATACATTTTAACAAGCTAAATACAATTAGCTCATATTAGACAAGTTTTCAGAGAGACGTGGATTTCAAACACAAAGTCTTAATGAACACAAAATTAAAAATGTATAATTAATCTAACTGCCCTAAGCATCAACATGATTGCAAAGCAAAACACAAAAGACAGAAACTAACCGTCCACCTGGTGAGGCTTCAATATTGTGACCAGGTTCCTGTGCACCTGAACGAGAGGCTTCTTGGTCTCCTCATCCTGATCCAGGATCAGCTTGGTTGTGACGGGACACGCCACTTGAGACAGCTCATCCTCTATGACAATGATCTGCAACACAAACAAATATGTCCTAAAAAGTTTCACTGCGTTGCATGTGCTGTGCTCGGTGTCCTTGATCTACAGGTACAAGGCATCTTATCAGCATTTCCTGCTCTAAACACTGATTTCTATTGCTATGGTGAAGTTTAGCGCAGTACCTCTCTCCTGTCTTCCATCTGTTGTTCCCTATTTGCCAAACGTTTGCATCTCTCCTCCTCCTCTCTCAGGGCTTCCTGAGTCTCAGCACGAAGGTTTTCATCTTCAATTATTCTGCGAATCCTTTTGCGTCCTTTCGGGGTGACTTTATTTTCGCGGGCCTCCTCAGGTGCATCCTCTTGATCGGTCTGTCCAGAGAACAATCCAACAGTCAGTATGTCAATCAGGCACGAGAGTTGTCTGTTTTGGGTTTTTTTAGACAAGGTTTATGGTATCACACATAAACAGGCCGAGATAAGAAGAATAACACATAAATTCATAAAGAGATAAAAGAGGATAATTCGATACCTTTTCACTGCTGGAGTCTGACAACAAAATGTAAGCCACTTGCGTTTTCTTTTCGTAACCATGAAGCTCATCATTCACCTTTGTGTTTGCTCTGGAGTTAAAAATAAGAAAGTATGTTTTCAAAAAAAGAAGGAAAAAAAGAAAAAGAAATTGTGCCGATCAGGTTATCCAGTAAATCTAAAACTACTAAGCTGCTTGCTCAAATCTAACCTTTGCGTTCTTCTTTATATTATTTTCAGGTCTTTACAATTTGTGCATTGGCACGGTATAAATTTAACTGAATTGAACGCTGATTCTTATCAGTGGAAGTTGAAATAAACATACTTTTTGAGCTTGTCTTCACCAGCCTCGTCACCCGACTCGCTCAGCTCCTCACTCATCCCAGCATCTTCATCCAGCTCATCGCTGTCGGCCTCACTTTCACTGTTGGCTTCACAGAAATCAAAGTCAGACGAGATACTCATCTCCTGTTCCATCTGATCACTGTCTAAGTTATTCTTACAGCTCTGATTTTCTTTCCTGGCTCCTCTTTTGCGCTCCCGTTTTCCATCTTTGCTCTTTGGTGCATCCTTGTTACTTGATGTTCCCTCATCTAAGATAAGTTTGTGACGGAGGAGGTGGTGCCTGGAGATGGGCCCATCAGAGTAGTAGTCAGATGAATCTTCGGTAAAGTCTTCCCCTGTATCAGAGACATATTCTATCATTATTATTATTTATGCTCTTTAACCACCCCAAGTGATATAACAGCCCTCTGCCACTGGGATAGCTTCGCAATTTTGTATTAATCTCATAACTGAGATACTGGTTAAATAAAATCTGGAAAATCTATTCATAAGGAAATGCACAAGATTAAAACTTGTAATACCAAGAAAAAAACTTACCATCTTCATCTGTTCCACTACCGTCATTGCCTCGTTTGATCTCCTTGTCACTCAGTGAATCAGATTCATCCTCCTGTGTTTCTTCATCTGAAGAGATATCATCACCCGAGGAGTAGTTGGATTTAATTTGGGCCAATAGCAATTTCTTAGCGATTCTTTCAAAAGTAGAAGAGAAGGAAAAGGCACCTGAAGTTCATTTCATGATCAGTTTCATTGTCTTCAGCTGGATATTTTTACACTTATTGTTACACATTACAACAGAATATGGTAATATTTGGGCTATATTACACAGAAATGATAATTTAAGTGCTCAGCTGCCAATATTCCAAAAGCTGGTGGCATTAAAAAGAAATCGGCTATATATGGTGAGTCGCTTCTAGTGGATCCGCATTATGTCTTTAAGTGATGAGCCCAGTTTGAAGCTCTTGTAGTTGCTTCACAGACCAATTAAAGAGAACTGCCACAACACTGAAAGACATATTCAAAACATTAGTATAGAAAGCAAAAGAAAAACGAGACAGAGGCATTTTTAAGAGTAAGAATTTATTACGACAAACAAGGATTCTTGACACACAAAAACAATAGTCTCAAACTCTCAATAGTTTGTTCGCCCTTGGGAAATCGCGAGTAACACTTTTCTTTCTTTTTCCCTTCTTTTTTTTTTCCTTGCTCGACTCTGACAGACATATGTTTGCAAAAATGACATTATGTTCATGTATTCCGCTCATCCTTTAAACTGTGACAGCTCTGATTTGAAGATCTAGAATCTTTCGAGGCGACCAAAAGGCAATATAATCATGATTCTCCCAATTTTCTTGAAAAAGGGGGACAAATTACACGTGGGACACAAAAACAGAAAATTACTGTACATAAAGATTTACTTAGAATGAAACATTAACTTTTTTTTTCCCTACCCCAGGGGGTATCACATTTCAAAAATGGCTGAAGTATATTCAAACTGCAGTAAAATTCACGTAAAAAAAAAAAAAAAAACATGTAAAAAGTTCATTGTTTTAATACCATGTGGTGTTTTGAAGAATATATACAATAAATAACCCCTTTAAACTCCATTTACGTGGACCCAACACTGCATGAGTCGTATCTGGCTCGGGTTTGTCTACTGCATCCTACTTCAGCCATTTCTCCCACAGGGTTGACCCTGTTTTCAAGTAGGCCATAATCCAGGTCAGTGGACATCGGATAAGCACCACTTTCACTGATACCAAATCCAACGTCCGGTGAGAACTTATTGTTAAAGTACACACAGTACAGAAATGTTAGACGACAGCAGCAGGAACAGATGAGAGTCTTGAATCTCATTTGATATGTTTCAAGTTAGAAGAAAGACGCAGCAGAAAGCGCAAAGACACTGAAATGAAAATGAACACAGCCACATGCTACGTTTTAGCCCAGTAACTACAAACAATGTAAACTTTACATTTCTGCTGACCATTTTCCCCATGATAAAGTTGCACTACAACTACACACAGACGTCATGTGATGCTATTCATGTTGATAGGAGGCTACAATATCCCAGATTTAAGTGACTGTCGCCTAACAGCACTGCATTCACTGCTGTGCTGTCAGAAAATCCGCCCTGAAAAAAACATGAGAAAACAAACAAGTCACATCAATAAAGACACAGTGTAAACTTGGTTGCTTGTTTTTTGCACTCTAACAACTGTTTCACAGCCCACTCTCATTTCAGATAAAGTAGAAATGATCACCAATTATAATCACTGTTCTGAAATAAATGTTTTCATCTGCTTTACGTGAGTAAAAGCACAAGCTGGGTCTCCTGTTAAGCAGGATTTAACCGGCTGCAAGTTTCAGCCATTACGTTTAATGGTCAGCAGTAATGTATAGTCTGTGTATAGAAAGTGGGCCAAAACACTAGAAAAAGCATAGGTGTTTCTAAAGAACACTGCATAGCACGTACATCATTTGGGAGAAGAGTAGGCCAAATGAAGAAATTTAGATGCGAGGTGTTAAATTAGAGGGGAAAAAAGGAGATTAGGATTCATCTCTGATTGCACTTTACGGTAAATCTTAGCTACTTCAATGGTATTGCACAAATGCTGTGCTATTACTCTGGGCTTAGCCTCCAAGAGCAGTAATCAAATTTCACTCACTTCCATTGGAAAGGGTTGGTATCAGAAAGCTCGACAGAAAGATATTAACAGAGGTAAAGAGGTGGAAAATGAGTGTGAGACGTAAGATAATCTCAGTCAGAAAACAAAAGTAATACTCAAAGTATTCAACTTCTTCGAACTCAGCTTCTACTCCCTACCAATATGTAATAGTTTTCAGAGCTCAAGTGAACTGACTGGATTTCTAGCTTTTATTTGAGACTCCTGACAAACTGAAGCAAGTAATACCTGCATGTCGACACGCTTTGACTTAAGTCATTGGAATGAGCACACAGGAAAGCAAGTGAGTGTCAGGCTGACACAAAGCCTGCTCCAAAGTGCATTAGCTGTGACTGTGGGTGTCAGCGGTGCAGCAGGATTTCAACTTGTTTCCAGAGATGAAGTAAAAACTTGCTCAAAGACAATTGTTGGGAGTCTCCAAACTTTCAAAGAAGGCTGACTACATACCAGATTACAGAGGTATTTTATCAAATTAGATTGTACTAGATTATACATCGTGATGGCTGAGTGTAAACACCAGAGCCTTGAAGGTGCATCAAACAAACACTTAACTATCAAACATGTTAATGAAAAAAAAAGCACATTACTTCTACTGCAGCTGGTGGTTAACTTACCACAACTTGCATAAAACCCAATAGCTGGTTTAGAAGGCTGGGTGCGTATCCTCAGCTCATGATACTGTTTTGAGGTGAGGGCTGTGGGAGACTTTGAGAACTGTTTTGAGAGCTGCTAAACTAACAAAAGTTTGCATTTTTTGTTTGTTGGACTGTGAGAGGAGCCATGTAACAAATCGTGAGACTTACAGACACTCACAATACCATAAAGGTAATTACACTTTGGCACTTTTTTCAAAGTGCAGCAATAAAGTAAACACTTTTATAATGCAACAACTCTGTGGTGTCAAATAAAAACCCATTTGTGTGTGACGTTCAGGTCCTGTGCTGTAGAAAAATTACAAAAAGGGACTGCACGCATCAAACTTTTGGGCCTAAAATTATTCAAAAGCTGAATAAATTGAATCTAAACACATGTACAGAGCCAGGTACGTTGTCTCAGATCAGTTTATTCAAAAACCAATCTTTTTACCATCTAGCAATCTAGCCCACAATTGAATGCTCACACCACAACTGTGACCATTAAAGCTAGGAGCAGGTATTCAAAAAAAAAAAAAAAAAAAAGGTGAAGCATAAAATTTTTAAACATGTTTTGCAACTCTGCAAGCATCGCTCCCCATTTGTAATATAAAACAGAAAAAGGTTTTGATTAAATTATATTGTTTTTAAAGTCATAATATGTGCAGATAATGTTGCTGGCAGGTTTCAAACTTTATCCTTCACCTGGAAAATAACAACACTCCATTTACTTCAGTCAACAGTGCCACTCCATGTTGTTTTTGTGTAGTTTGTAAAAACACAGAATGAACATTACATCGAAGCTCACTTTAAACGTATACTCACAATGAAACCACACCTGTACTCGTGGTGCTCAGGTTAAGCTGTACGCCAAAACAAGCTTCACTGTTCAAATGTATACTTTGACCTCCTTCATTCAAGTGGGTCTCTTAACATCAGCCAAGTGTCCCAGGGAGAATACGCAGGTATGATATAAGAAATAATACTAAAATGTTCTTGTATTTCTAAATGTAAAAAATTAAACAAAGACGAGCAGATTACGTTGCTTATCAATAACAAAAACCACATCACGATTTTATCTCTAGAATGTGTATTTGATCGCTGGGGCCCTACTGCAGCTACGTTTGGGTCGTGTTTGAATTGGCTGTAACTGAGTCCTAATGACATGGGTGTTGCTAGACTTTGCGCAGACGTCAGGATTTGAAGTTGCAGCTTTTCTTCTACACCTAACTTGCTTTACAAATTCTACATCCGGGCTTTTTGAACCGTACCTATTTTCTGGATCATCGTCATCTTCTGCTGCCCATGAGGGCCCAGACTGCTCCTCATCTCCTATAAGAACAAACATCAGAAACATGAATTTCAAAATTAAATTAAGCTACTACGTTTTGAAAACATATATATTGCCAGAAAAAGTGTTTAATGAATGCTAGATTGTGTGGACATTGAAAGAAAATATTCATATTTATTTTTGTCACAGTTCTTACTTCATGATTCATGACGAACCACTAATGACACAAAGTTCTGTTAAAACTTCTTGAGCCATCACTTATTTCTTTATATTTTGCTATGAAAATGGAAAATAGGTTAAACAATTTACTGAAACATGTAAACATACATGGTGACACAATATAAAAGCAAAACAAATGACCACTTTTATTCTTCAACACCATCTTCAGGAATAGTTCTGCAGGCTTCTTAAAGGACATTCAAACAAATCTTTGGATGTTGGCTGCCTTTTGTTCTTTTCTCTATCAATATAATCTCACACTGCTTCAACAATTTTGAAATCCTCTCTCTGGGGCGGCCAATCAATGACTGACAGTGTTCCACTGTGTGTTTTTCTATCCAGATATGCTTTTATTGCATTGGCAGCACCACTGTCTAAAATGCAGTTTCACACCATTAAGAGCTTCCACCATGTTTTTAAAAGGGCCATTTCTCAAAGTTTCCCTTCCTTCTTGACAGTCACTGGTGCTTTTTCAGGTCTTTACTAGATGTTTTTTTTCATGCTTCCTAATCTCTTGACCCAGATACTGTTCATCTGCTGTAGATAGTTTATTTTAGGCCTGCCACTTCTTGTTCTGTCCTTACACTTGCCCTGTTTCCTCAAATTTTCTACTGACATGCTGGATGCCATGTTGAGATACATTGTTCTTGCTCAATAGCTCTTTGGGCATCACTTTGTTGGTGCGAAAATACTATTTTATGCCTGCCAAACTGTGTTAACTTTGGCATTTTTTGTGCAAAAGAAATGGGAACAAGCTGCTACTAACAAAGTGCCTAAAGATACAATTTAAAATTGGTTCTTTGCTAAGTTCTCTGTTATGTGACTGGTTAGTTGACTTTTTTAAGCTTAAATGATTCATAGATCAGTGGTAAGTAGCTCTGGCCAGGTACAAGGACTGGGCTAAAAATGAAAAAGTGCAAAGGCAGCCAATGACCTTCAACAAGCCTGAAGAATTATTGCAGTCTTACTTGTTGGAAGTAAAATATGAAGAATTAAGGGGTGGCTCAAGACTTTTGCACAATGGATCTAGACACCTGTAAAACTCACCTGACGATTGGTGGAATGCAGCTGCTCCTAATAAGGCCACATCTTCTGTGATTGGCTTCATCTTCTGATCACTTCCATCGCTCCCAGAGTCATCGTCATGTTCTTCTTCACTTGATGAGGTCGATGAATCCATTGCTTCCTGACGAGATTTAGTCTTAGCGTCCTCACCTTGTATCCTACTCCGCTTTCTAGCCACACCCTCCTCTCCTCTCTTGACAAGATGAGGCTTCCCTATTGACCTCAGCGTATTTAAGTGTTTTATTTTCTTTTGCGAGTCTTGCTCGTCGCTAGAGGAGTCCGTCCCACTTTCACCGCGAGCTTTGACTCTTCTGTTAGTTGAGTCGGCCTCAGGGGTGCGATCCAGTATCTTGCGTTTCCGCCTAATATTCTCTGGTGAGATTGGAGTGTTCTTATTAAGCCAGAAGAGACATTTTTTCGCCACTTTATTTGGCGACGCTTTACCACCATCTTCATCACTCCGGGGTTCATCAGAACTTTGTGTCATCGCTGCACGCTCAAGCAGAGCAGCAGGGACTTCATCTGAATCAGAGTCGTCTCTTGTCCTGCTCAGACTCTGCTCTTCAGTTGTTTTAGCAGGCACCGTGTTGGGGGCCTCTTCAGTGTCAGAGTCGCTGTCACTGTCTCCTACTGAGAGAGATGTTTTGGTTTTCACATCACTTGGTCGGCGCAAAGGGGTTGTCTTCACCCGAGGAGAACGTCTATTGCCCTGTTCTTCTTCTAGATACAGAGATGCACTGGAGTTGTCATTGCTCATCTTGCTACCACTTGTTTCTTCATCTTCTGATACATGTTTTTCCTTTGACTTCTTATCTTTCTTTCCCTCCTCGGTTTTGGGGGGCGCAGATGATGGCTCCTGCTCCATAGCTACAGGTGTAAGTTGTACTACTAGTTTTTTAGTCATGTCAACGCCGCTTTCAGTAGATTTCAGGCCAATCTTTTGTGCTCTCTGTCTGGCTTTATGTGAACCTGAAACCATCTCCTTGCCCGGACAGTCTTGTAGACTCCCATCTGCAAAGCCCTTGGAGTCAGAGTCGTTATCTTCTAAATGTTCAGCTGCCAATTTCTGCAAGTCACTCAAGCACCTGTCATCAGGTATGTCTATCTCCATTTCTGCTTCTGTTACAAGTCCATCAAAGTGGTCACTAAGCAGTTTTTCCCAATTGCTCGATACATCCAAATCACTGAATTCTTCCTTAAGGCTATCCTCCAGTCCTGCTAGGGATTTTCTCAAGCCTTTAACTACTTCCAAAAATGACTTCAGGTACCTAGTGCGAACACCAGGTGTTGGTTTGTTTTGTGTCACACTATGAATGAAATTGACAAAAGTTTGGTTTAAGGTATTTGTTGAGTCCACTAAATGTTTGGCCTTTTTGGTAATGTCCTTGGAAACCTGCAGCATGCTGTAGTTGAACATCACATTTCCATCCATACCAGTGTGATCCCATTTATCCAGAGAAATGTTTTGAGGTGAGTGTGGTAAAATGTTGAAAATCTCAGATTTCCCCGGATCGACTCGATTCCTCTTGCGCTGCTGTTGCCACAAACGTTCCATGTTCTCAAGGACACTGTCACAAGCCATGACCAGGTCAAAAAGAGGTTCTGGGCTACACACATAGCAGTACCATTTGCTCTCCAAGATGCCCGACAGTTCCTTCCTTCCCAAATTTCTTAAAATGCACTTCTTACAGAAAGCATTGCTACAGAAATCGCAGCAGATCAAGTTGCCTCCTTCAGCACACCACCTGCACAAGGGGAAAAGAGAGATGATAAATGTGGCTGACAAAAGTGAGTTAATGGAAATGTTAATATTTCAGTTAAATGACTGAATGCTACTAAATCGTGCCTGCACTGCTCATCCATCCCGTCACAATCCTTGCTGATGTCATCACTTGAGTAATAGTTGTAGCAAGACTGGCAAAACAAAACATTTAATTAGAAACAGCTCTGAGCAATGTATTATAAACACTAACAAGGTGAAAAATATAATTCTGTTGATGATATCAATATACTTGAGGTCAGGTTTTTTTAATGCATCTTTTTTTTTTTTTTCAGTTTTGCTATTGTGTTCAATCAGGCATCAAACCCAGTGCTGACAAATCAGTCTGGCTCAATATGGTGCATGACAGTAGTTTTATTTTTGTTTTACTGGTATTCATGACAAGAAGCCACCCACACAAGGCCAACAGAATAAACACACATCACCAAGACAAATTATGAGCTGCACCACAAATAAGGACCGAGGT